AGAAAGAAAGAAAGAAAGAAAGAAAGAAAGAAAGAAAGAAAGAAAGAAAGAAAGAAAGAAAGAGAGAGAGAGAGAGAGAAAGAGGGAGGGGAAGGGGAAGGGGAAGGGGAAGGGGAGGAGGAAGAAAGGAAAAGGAAAAGGAAAAGGAAAAGGAAAAGGAAAAGGAAAAGGAAAAGGAAAAGGAAAAGGAAAAGGAAAAGGAAAAGGAAGATAATGGAAGGGTAGGAAGCCTCTAGCCTTCAGATGCTCCTGAGCTTTAATTGCTAGGATCCCTCACCATTAGATATTCTGGCTATGGCTGCTGTGGGTTACAGGGTAGTAGCATTTGAGAAGGCATGTTTTCCTATCTACGAGTTAAAAGGACAGTGCCTATAGGCAGACAGTGAATGTAGAGAAATTTGACATCCTATGATTTGGTTGCTCTAATTTCCAAAACTAATTGTCTGTCCAAGACACATTGGCTCAGAAAAGCTTATAAAGTATCTTACTGACACAATTACAATTGGCAAAATGATAACAACTGCTTTCCTTCAAGGATGTTGCTTTTGCAACATAATAAGGTTAACACATGTGGCTCATAGAGTCAGGTAGGTCTGTGCCCACAGAGTAGTTTCAGCATGATGAACAAATGGCTCTCATCTCCACTTAATTTTATAACACGGGTACTCTCATTCAGGCATACTGCTGCTATCCAGCATTTTTTAACTGAATGCCAATTGTTCTGAATTTTGTAAAACTAGTTGAGGTGTTACAGAAAAATGTTCGCATGAGAAATTATTCTGAAACCTTTCCCATTTGAAAACCAGTTCCTCCTTGGTGGTAGGATCTGCACTTCACTGATTGGAAGTTTCCTTAAAACTTGGAGCTACAGAGGTCTGTACAGTAGCTGAAGAGCGCACACTTAAAAGTGACTAATAAATGCAGGTGAATGTGTGAATGACACCTAATTCATGGAGGAAAGTTTGCTTGATTTGCAAATATCAGGTGCAGAGGTATATATGTGAACCTAACCCAAGAGAGATTTGCTAGCACAATAGAATTTCAATGACTCTTGTCTGAGGTTTGAATTTAAGGATCATGTACCATAGAGATTATTCACTGAAACTAAAGCAAAGAAGGAAGGACAGCAAGCTGCAGATTCATAATGCAGAGCTGTAATTAGTCAGCATTTGCGCTTCATTTCAGGCCCCAGTACAACTTTTCCCCCTGAAAGATACTGCATTTGGGATTCCAAGATCTCACTTGTTTAAAAAGAATGCTCTTGCTGTATCCCAGTGAACTGGCTCATACATCACATTAAACCATAATGTGTTTTGTTAGATATTGGCTTAGTGTGTTGCAGGAACCAGACAGTCTGGCTTACCATGTTTGGCAACTCAACCAGTGTATAAGTTGTATACACATAAACCACATTGTTCTCCAGTTGTAGTAGCCAGCCAAATATATAATTCAAAATATTTATCCCTAAATAGACAGTTATATTTGGTGGCTGAACATGCAGGGCTATGTTAGGCTGCTGGCATTGAACTAGAAGAAAATTAAAAGGGCCTCTACGCTTGGATTGCTGTCCCCACTAAGCAAGCTGAAGGCTGGGGGAGTGGTCATTTTGATATTTATCCTGGGGAGGAGGGTGTAAATGCATAAACATAATTATCATAATATTTTGAAGATCTTGTCCATCAGGCAACAAGGAAAGTGTCCCTACAATCTCATATCAACTGTGCAACTGTCACAGAAATCAGCAGAACACTTTGTATTCTTCCCACTTCCACTACCTGGCATTTCTTAAGTTGCCCTTTATGCTTTACAGAGGGCAGAAGTTTCAAAGAAGCAACAGTAACAGCAGCAACCGAGTTAGATAAGTAGAAGCCTGAAACATAACAGGTATCTGTCAATGCCAGTTCTGAACACTACAACTCCTGAAATATGCCTCAATAACTTCAGGATGCCTATAGGGTGAATATTGCATAAGGACTTTCACATTCAGTCCATTTGCAAGCAAACCGGCCAAGGGCAGGGTGACAAGAAGTACATAGGCCTAGACTGTCACTCCCCAAGTCATTCTTGCTTGTTTTCTCAAAGCTCTAGGAAACATTTATTTTTAACTTTTTTTTTTTCACAAAAGAAAAATGCCATTCAATCTGAAGTTATAATAAACGGGAGAAGTACAAAGGGCCGTGGATTTTGGCAGACCTGGAAAGAGAACAAGGAGGGAGCCTGATGGGGGAGGCAGCTGGATATTCCAAAAGCTCTGGCTGGGCAAACTTCTGAGTGTTTGCAGCTGGCGAAAGGGAACTCACAAAAGGGATTATGCCTTAACTTGGCAGGGGGAGAAAAAAGAGCCACCCTCTCCAGCGGGGAGAAATGCTGTTTCCCCTTTCTGCTTGCAAGAGAGCATGACTGGCAGAGGCCTTTCAGAATCATGACACCTTTTGGCAACTGTGCTCTGGGGCAGAACCTCTCCATGACCTTTCTTAGGTTTATTTGGTTTGGGCAAGAAGTACTTTTCACACAACACTAATCTACGCACAACCCCCACCACCACTCCACTCCACTCCACTCCACACACACACACACACACACACACACTCGTACACTTCAAGCTCCAAACCCACAGAAGCTCTGCAAATAGTACAGCAACAAAGCTCTCAACTGGGACGAGTTTGCACAATATATTCAAAATGCAAAGGCTGGAGGGAGCCACTTTCTGTACAAAGCAGAGCTTTTCTCTTCAAGTGCATCTGATGGGCAAAGAACTTTGCACAACTTAAGGGAAAGCATTAGGTTTTTGCAGTCAACTTGGGAGAGGTTCTTCTTTTCTTTTTTCCCAAACACAGAAAGCCAGAATGAACATTTTGAGGAACAGATGCCTTTAATTCAACTCAGCCATTCAGATCTGACCCCTCCTGGCATTTGCTCTCTGGTGGGCGCACAGGGGGCGGGGGCGGGTTAAGCATTAAACTAACCTGACAGTGAAATCAGTCCTTAAGAGATATGCAAAGAAATCCGGCCAAGGAGGAGATGGAGAGGACTAGTGCGGATGCCTTCTTCACACCTGGTCACGCTCTCTCCCCCACCACCCGGCAAAAACCCAGCCATCTGCAGAAAAGAAGCCCACCCATTCCCTTTGATTTGGAGGTCCCTGGCGACGCCAGCGCTGCTGCTGCTGTTGCTGCTGCTGCTGCTGCTCTGGGAGCGGTTTCTGCCGAGCTGCAATAAACAATAAGCCCCAAGACTCGCAGAGGCGAAGCGGCTGGCTGGCTGGCTCTCCTCCTCCCTCCCCCAAGCCCGGGGCCGCGAAAGTTGCGCTTGGCCGCTGCAGGCAGCCCGGCTCCTGCCTCCTTAACAAAGAAGCCCCGGCTTACTTTCTTGAGCCATGCTGATGACAGTCTCGGTGGTGGCGTGGTACTCGTCCTCTTCCAGGTAGTCGTCGTGCTGGAAGGAGTCCCCCTGGAAGTCGTGCAAGTCCAGGATCTGCTGCAGCGGCGGGGCTTTGGGCAGCAGCTGGTTCACCACCTCGCGGGTGATGTTGGGCGCCTCTTTGAGCCTCAGCTTGCTGAGGATCTGCGACTTGATGCTCTCCAGCCTCATCTCTTTGCTGTGCTTGCGCCACAGACACACCGGGCAGCCCTGGTCCTCCGTCTCTGTCACCAGGGGGACGCCCTCCGTGGGCGCCTTCTCGCCCGGCTCGCCCGCGCAGAACTCCAAGGACAAGACCAGGAAGCCCCAAAAGACGGTCGACTTGGGCACCGGCATGTCTGGCGCTTCGCTTGCTCCCCAGCCAAGCAAGCCCGCTCCTTTCTCTCGCAGAGCACAATCGCTCTGGCTCGGCCTTGGGATGATGGGCTGCAGCTGCTGGGTGCTTGGGGGGTGGTGCCGCCGCCGCCGCCGCTAAGTTCTTTGGGGTTGGAGATGGGGGGGCGACTTGCTGGTTGGGGGAAGGAGAGGAGGGGGGGAAGAAAGAAGGACTCTCCTTTTATATCCCAACTGAACTGTGTCGTAAAAAGCCTTGATTGGCTGCGGAGGCAACAAAAGAGCTCTTGGCAAAAGGGCTGTCACCGGCAGGGGAAAGCGAGCGGAGTTCTCTGCGCTCTTCTCGGGTCAGCGCGAAGCATTCCTACCGCGCTCGCCTCTTCGGGTGTCAAACCTTTTAAAGGCTGGCAGCGCTCTTTGAAGCGAGGAGGGGAGGGGGCGCCAAAATGGGGAGGGAGCGTGTGGAGGAGGCATCTGACAGCCCCTTAAAGAAACAAAGTCCCCTTTTTCCTCGAGCCCGCTGGATTCCCCCGCGCGCTACCTTCCCGTGGCAGGCAGATTGGTGTGGTTTTCAGCACCCGGCCCCGAGGGGAGGAGGCGTTCGTAACAATAAATGGGGAGGGGCGGCTCGTGCGCCTTGGGTACACGGGGTGGACCCAGGTTGGGCGCTGGGCGAGGGGATGGCTGGGCAAGCGACGAGGGAGATGGCGAGGGAGAGGGAGAAACGTCCGCGCTGCCGCGGCTGCTCCCCTCAGCATCTCCCCGCCTCGGCTCACCTCGCGCCCCCCCCGGCTCTCCGGGCGTCTTCCCTTCTGTGTCCGAGAAAGGCCCCCCCTCTCCCCCCTCAGGTCTGCCCCCTCGGC